TCACCCAGCAGCACCCACCAAACTGACCACTCCCACTGCGTTCGCAAGCCTATTGTCGTAAATACGGGATTACGTTGTGCATTATAATTGCTCAAGTTCTGGAACTTCGCCTGCTTCTACCATATTTTTGCGTTCTCGTAATGGATGTCACTAAATCATCCGTGAGACACTGACCTGGACATGGTTCGTGCTTGAGCCGTACTCAGCCATAGGTACAATCGGTAACACCGTCTCCGAAAAGGTGTCACGACACGTCACAACAGCGATACGAAGAGGAGTGAAACTGAAAAAAGGCATTCTTTCGAGCTCATCAAGGATGTCATGCCCGATCTGTTCACAAAAAGCTTTTTTTCAGGGATCAAGGAGTTCCAGATCTATCGGTTAGGGAGAAATTCAAGTTTAGTTGGCCGTTTCAAGTCAGCTTTCAAATTTGAAAAGTTTTAGAGCACCTCATCTCGCAACTGCTGTCAAGTGGCCCAGAATGCGTAATATTCGATTGGACTAGACGAATCCGGTGATGATCAGCACCAATCTTGTACTTCTCCACCAATTGTGATACTGGCACTAGCGAATGCTCGGCTGTCAGCACGTATTCGATCTGGAAAATTTGTCTCAAAAGAGGAATCGATAACCACCTAACGATAAGACTATCGAAATTCATTACAACGGAGCTCAAAAGAAATGTAAATGGAATGAAGTAAAACAGTGATAGAAGACGCTACTGCTAACCGTACGAAACGAATATTGAGTCCCGGCCTGTCTGAGCAAGCCAGCTAAGCTTTTCATCTTTACCGGAAAGGTTTTCAGCTATCAAGGTACCCCGGCAATAGCATTGACAGGCTCAGCCAGTCACTGTATACCCATTAACCGTGTGGACATCACCACGACGGCAGCTAGAGGACGGGGACAAGGAGGGAGGGCATACGAATGTGGAGCGAGTTTCGAGTTGCGTAAACGAGGTCAGGGGCTGCCACAGATGCCGAGAAATGGGAGGATAAGTGAGCCTGATACATCCCTAAATCTTAGGCAGATAAACCGAGACGACTACTGAATTGATCCCTTCGAATGCCGAACATTTGCGAGCCGCCAACTCGATAGCCACATTCCTTTTAGACCCTTGAGTGAAAGGAATGGTTACCTTCTGCGCCTGGACCGAGGAGGGTTCAGTGGACCAAGTGGTGGGGAGCTCCTCCAGAGCGAAAATCCCCTTTTTTCTTCCCGAGTACAACTGCCGTTGATTTGTAAAAGCTGACCGCAGGGAACGCTGAATCTATTCCTACTTCCCAACGCTTTATTGCTGCTCCTGAATAACAATCGTTACTAGCGATTTTGAAAGAAGACAGCACACCTTGGAAGGTCGTATGCTCTTTCGGAAGAAAACAATTGGTTAACTTATCTGTAGGTATGCTTCCATTGCTGTAAAAAAAGAGCATTCTCCCGTAAAAATTGTCGCTCTACCAAATTTTTCTGTCGGATAACTATCTTCCACTTGTTATGAACATTCAATGAAGCCCAGATGGTACGTACCAATACCTCAACTGGGATTTTAGGTTCTGTAGTAATTGCAAGAATGGGACCTACTACCGACCATCTCTCCCCTTCCCCCCACCCCCACCTCCCCTCTTTTTCTATTCGCCAGTCGCTCTGAACCCGTGCCATGCTCCCCAGTTGGACAAAAGCTGAAGAACAAGAAGAAAAGGAGACGGTAGGGGGAAATAAATCATCCTCAGGATACCCCCGGTGAGCACTACTCGAATTCGAGCACAGAACCCCAAACTCAGTATGGATGAGCTGAAGGGAATTGGAGTCAAGCAGTACCTTTTCCGATTCGGCAATGTCGGCCAAATATTCGAAAGCACTCTTTGCTTGTAACTTTTTCAATTCAATCGGCTCCAGATGTACGATTCCTCGTTCCCCTCGAGTTGATATACAGATGCTACCTGGAATTTGAAGCCGTTAATCCAGCAGCTATTATACCAGCCGTCTGGATATCCCATCGCTTTTTCTATTCAGCTATTCAAAGAAAAATATAAAGTAACAACACGAGATATTTACAGATAGATTAAA